CTGCAAGCCCGGGGCGGGGCGGAGACAGAAGCCCAAGTTGGGGAGGTCCTGGACATTGCTGCTCAAAGGTCATCCCGTGACCTGCGGGGGCTTGCAAGTCTTTCAAGCTTTAGGACATCTGAAAGGACACCTGCTAATGCTGTCGCTGCCGGCGCAGTCACCCTTCCTTGTATCCCAGGCACCATGAGCACAAGGTGCTTCTTCACAGAGGATGTGGACGGGGCGTTGTCCCCACTTCCCGTCTCCCGTGGACTGTGTGAGGAGGACAGTGGAGCCGAGAGTGCTGAGGTGGGCAGGCAGTCGCGGCTCTGCATGAGGTTTATATAATCTGACAACGGTTTTCTCTGCTGGATGAAGGACTACATCTGAGGGCACTTCAAAGGGTTGGTCAAAAACGGAGTGAAGGGCTGCGCGCCCACGGCCTCTGTGCACTTGCGCGGCTGTGCCGGGGCCTGCCCACCCGTGTCCGGCCGCGCGGCGTGGCGGCCCTCGTGGTGTGGTGACGTCAGAGCTCTGCAGCCTCTTGAGTGACGCTGGTCCCGTCCTTTGGCCAGACCGAGTAACGGTGGCGCTGATGTAGATACGCGAGCTGGCGACTAGCAATTGGTAGCCTCCAAAATGAAAAAAAAAAAAAAAAAGTTTTGATTGGAAAGGCAAGCAGCCTAAGAGGTTCTTAAGAGCCAAGGTTGGATGCCAAAATAGCTCAGGGCTGCAGCCGCGGTTCGGGTGCAACGTCAGAGGAAAGGACCTGGGGGAGACCCACAGCGCGCCCCGCGTGGGCGACGTGGGCAGAGTACATCAGCTCCTGCTCCTGGGCTGGGCCGCCCTGCTGGAAATGTCCGAGTTTCTCCTCGTGCATGAAGCAGACGTCCACGTGGTCGACAGTAGCAGCGGACACGCTCATGTTCGCAGCGCAGTATAAGTCACCTGACCTACTCAGCATGCTTCTTGAAACCGTGGACTCTGAATTAGACTCCATCGGTGACCCTCCACTACACTAGGAACTAAAAGCAACACCGGATAAACAAACAGGAAGTACCGAGGCCCGGGCGTAAGCATCGTTCGAAGAGACTGCACAGCATTCGAGAGAGAGAGAGAGAGAGAGAGCGAGAGCGAGAGCGAGAGCGAGCTTCCTCCCAGAGACTCGGGAAATACAGCATTCAGGGTCTGGAAGCCGGCGGCTCCAAAAGGAAACGTTGCATGGAGTTAACCCGACAAGAACTGGAGAGAGAGGCAACAAATGCATTCGGGAGACATTCACCCCGGAAAAGCGTTCTCATCTGAACTCCCTGCGCACCCCCAGACGTTAGCTGAACAATACCTAGAGAAACCACGGAGCCGTCTTCACCCAGTGCTTCCACCACGTGGCCGCCTCTGGAGCCAGCTAACGCAGCAACTTTCAGTAGCAACGTACTGGGCCGTAGACCTCTTGTCTCACAAGAAAACCCAGGGATGTTGGCCGCGAGACCACAGCCTTCCTACCGCAGCACCCTACACCCTACAAACACGCTGTTGCCAGAAGTGGAACCCCCTCATCTGGGCTCTTCCTCAGGCAGGCAGTGAGAAGTCGAATCTAAGACAAGATCCTGTTTTCAAAGCATGAAGTTTTGTTTGTTTGTTTGTTTGTGTTTAACAGGAGCCAGGTGCTTCTCCTGGTCTCCCATGGGGTGCAGGGCCCAAGCACTTGGGCCATCCTCCCCTGCACTCCCGGGCCACAGCAGAGAGCTGGCCTGGAAGAGGGGCAACCGGGACAGAATCCGGCGCCCCGACCGGGACTAGAACCCGGTGTGCCGGCACCACAGGTGGAGGATTAGCCTAGTGAGCCGCGGCACCAGCCGATGTCTTGTAAATAAAGATTACACACTTTGAATGATGGCATTTTCCTTGTGCAACCATTTACGTACATTTTAATGGTTTCCTAGTATGTCAGCATTTTCATTAAAATAGTTATATATGATAAAAAATGAAATTAAAAATTAAGTTTGGGATCAGCGTTCAGCCTCGTGGTGAACATGCCACAGTGGAGTGCCTGGGTTCATCATATTAGTTGTAATTCTTTAATTCTTACCCCTCGCAAATGAAATTGCAGATGGATTTCTTTTTGGTTGTTCTTACCTTTCACTTTGCTTCTTACGTGGGAAATGGGAGAATCAAGAAATATAGCACCAGAAAGGATGATTAAGATTAGACAAAAACAGCAAATGAATGCAACACATTTCCATGTCTCTTGTTGGGTAACAATGCGGCCTTCCACTTGTAATGTGCACACCAGGCAGAGTGCTCACCACAGTGAGTGGCACTGCCTGCCCCAAACAGATGGACAAAAAGGTGAGGCAGAGCGCACGGGCAGAAACAGCTACACCCTTTCCTCCCGAGAAAGTAAACTAACTGATCCAGTACCCATTATGCAACCTGCATCCACCCCCCAGGGCACCCCAGGATGTAGTGACCACTATTCTAAGTTCACCTGGACTGTGTTTAACTCCCACATACAAGAGACAACATGCACTAGTTGTCTTTCTGTGGCTGTCCTATTTCACTGAACATTACAATCTCCAGTTCCATCCATATTGCTGCCACTTTTTTTCATGACTGAATAATATTTCACTGTGTATATGCACCACATTTTCTTTATTCATCCTTCAATGGACCCCTAGATTGATTCTATATCCTGGCTACTGAAAACAGTACTGCATTGAACTTTCCAGTGGCGGTATCTCTCTGCAGGCTTATTTCATCTCTCTTGGGTATATAGCCAGGTGTGGGATAGCTGGTTCATACAGTAGACCTAATTCTAGTTATCTGAGCGCTTTGTACTCTTCTGCATCATGACTGGACTCATTTGCATCCCCACCAACTGTGGAGGTTCTCTTTTCTCAGCATCACTGCTGAGAAATATCTATGATTTTTCTCTTCTGTGATAGCCATTCTGCCTGGAGAGAAATGATACCCAATTGTGGTTTTGATCTGCCTCTTCCTGGTGGCAAGCAATATTGAGTTTTTGTCCATATAAATTTATTGAGGAAAATTCACAAATGATAATTGCAATGTGAATACAATTTTTTGCACTTGTTACCTTATATGCAGGCACTATTTTATATATTTAATTAATTAATTAATTTAATTAATTTATTTATGTATTTATTTTGCCAGGCAGAGTTAGACAGTGAGAGAGAGAGAGAGAGAGAGAGAGAGAGAGAGAAAGGTCTTCCTTCCGTTGGTTCAAACCCTAAATGGCCGCTACGGCCAGCACTGCGTCGATCCGAAGCCAGGAGCCAGGTGCTTCTTCCTGGTCGCCCATGCGGGTGCAGGGCCCAAGTGCTTGGGCCATCCTCCACTGCCTTCCCGGGCCACAGCAGAGAGCTGGCCTGGAAGAGGGGCAACAGGGACAGAATGCGGCGCCCCAACTGGGACTAGAACCCCGGGGTGCCAGCACCGCAGGCAGAGGATTAGCCTAGTGAGTTGTGGCGCTGGCCATAGATTTAATTTCTTAACTGTATATTATGTTTTGTTTAGAGAATATTTATCTTTATAAGAGCAGGGTTGTATGGATGTATCTATGGATTCAAACTATCTCATGGTTTTAGCTTCACTTTAGCAAATCTAGTACCAGAATTTTCAGTGGCTTCTTGGTACTTTAAAATATTACAGAATGAAAATTGTAGTCTTTTTCATTGAAACTCAGTCAACTTCCAAGTCATTATTTAGCATCTAAAATGATCCTACTCGGAAGCATATTGTTTGTATTCATAAAATCTTAATCAGTTTTCATTTTTCTAAGTCTTCTTGCAATGTTACATTTATCAAGTGTGCTAGATGACTCAGAACAGTGCTGAATTATGGATTCTTGACCTTGAGCTTTTCGTTTTGTGCTAAATTTACTTTTATCTGCCTGTTCATCAGAATAAACATTGCTTGCTCCTACTTTAAATGTATTCTATTATGCAAACATAGTCTGTTTTCCTGAATAAATATTTGTGTCACAATAGACTATCTTTATGGCTCTGTTTTGCTTAGAGGGTCATAATGTTTCTTTCCATATTTAATACAGGATGTGCTGCACCATTTATAATTTATTGAGGATTGGGGGAGAGGGAGGTGGCTCTGGAATATGGTAATATCTCAGGTTTGATTGTAGTCTGCTTCAGAGGGCAAAGACTGTCCCATTCAAATTGCTGAGTGAAGGTGACAAAGGTGGCCTGCAATGGAGAAAACATTCTTGGATTACAGATACTTCAAGCAGCCTAGGTTTGGGCTGGTAACGGGGCCTCACAGAAGCAACAGGCAAGCCTAAAGCATAATGATGGCTGCACACAGATCTTGAACCTGTGCAGCTGATGATGTGCTCCATGGAGTGAGACAAGCTTAATAAGGGGAAAACATATTTCCATGTCTGATTGATAGAACAGAGATGGTAAATAAATGTCTAGATCTCTTTGGAAAATTTGAATATTCCAGTATGGTTTTATCTTTCATTTTTTTTTATTTTGTAAAAAGAACTTTGTGTGTTTTTTGATACCACCTATGTTAGCTAGTTATTAATTTTTGAGTTTATTTTTTAAATCTTGATGTGCTATTCACTGTTAAGCTTAGCCTTAATTCACACTGGCTGTATTTAGGGAATGTTTCAGGTGGTTCCACAACCATATCAAGAAGGTATCGCTGACTAGAATCTGAAGATGGGTGTCCGCTAGGTTGGCACCTGCTCCTGGGGAAAGAGTGGGAAAGGCTTCCCTGAGAACTTTATGAATGCCAGGGTATTTATCTCATAATCTGATTTTATTGTTATTCCCTATGCTGCTATTAAGTATACTGAAGATCTGAAAAGAGATATAAAAATAACTTACTTAGAAAGTAAGTGTTTTATAAAATGCAGTTGTATATACTGTCATCTAACAACAAAACAGGCATGTGCACACACACGCAGACAACTTTTTATTTATTATGTCCGTGTGCTTCATAAAAATTGAATGGTGACCTTGCTTTTTTTTTCCTTTCAGCATGTGGTGAAACCCTACAGGAGTCCAATGGCAACCTCTCCTCCCCAGGATTCCCCAATGGCTACCCTTCTTACACGCATTGCGTCTGGAGAGTGTCTGTGACGCCAGGGGAGAAGGTAGCTTCTGCCTCTGTGTGTTCCATTTTAGTCTCATATAAGCGTAGTGTCTCTCAGAGGTTCATTGTCTTGCCAATGCCATTTTCTTTCTCTTTTATTCTTGTTTGACCTTTCAAATAGGAGCCTGTAGTACGGTAATATCTTTATTTTCATTGTTCGGTGCCTGGCACCATGTGGAAGACCCAGAAGAGATCCGACTCCGGGCTGTGTCTCTGTCTCTGTGTCTGTCTCTCTTTCTTTTTCTCTCTCAAGCAAACAGATAGGTAAATAAACTGAAAAAGAAAACAAAGAATTTTTGGAAGGGGTGTATGTGTAACCTGGTAGTTAAGATGCTGGTTTAGACCCGTGTATCCCACCTCAGCGTGCCTGGATTCACTCCCCAGCGTCCGCTCCTGACTCCAGCTTCCTGCCAGTGCAGACCCTGGGAGGCAGCAGTGATTGTTCAAGTGCTTGGGTCCCTGGTGGGGACCTGGCCGAGTTCTCGACTCCTGGCTTCAGCCCTGGCCCACCCGCAGTCATTGGTTTGGGTATCTGGGGAAGTGAACCAGCTGATTGGAGCACACACACTCTATCTTACCTCTCAATTAAATAATTGCTTTAAATTCATGGAAAACATGCATTCTCATCTAATTCCACTTTCCAGGAACTTTTTTGAAGCCCCTTAATAGATACTTTAGGCACCAAAATGGCTATAAATGAATCTTTTCAAAACTATGCCCATAATGTATAAACTTCAGATGAAAGGAGGAAATTTCTACAACATATTCTTAAGCTCTTAGGAAGAGATGAAAAGACATCTTGAATGTTCCTACTGTCCTAAAAGATGCCAAATTATTATTTACTTACTATTTGAAAGGCAGACTGACAGAGGCAGAGGGAGAGTAGGGGCAGGGGAGGGGGGTCCGGGAGGTGGGGGGAGAGAGAGAGAGAGAGAGAGAGAGAGAGAGAGAGAGAGAATTTTCTGTCTACTGATTAACTCCCCCAATTGGCAGTAATAGCGAGTGCAGGGCACCATGGAAGCCAGCAGACTGGAACTCCATCAATCTCCCACATGAAATGTAGGGTCCCAAATCCTTGGGCCATCTTCCACTGCTTTCCCAGGTGCATTAGCAGGGATCTGGGTTGGAAGAGGAGTAGGTGGGGGCTGAAATGGGTTCTCTGATATGGGATGCTGCAGTGACAAACAGTAGCTTAACATAGGTAAAGATGGAATAGAATGGGATTAGCAGCTGACCCTGAGGGTCCACAGATCCTGGAAGTAGAAGTTGACAGGCATTCGGTTATCTGTATCACATTAAAAAAAAAAAAAAAACACCTGTATTTTACCAAGAAATGTATCCTAGAGCAATTATCTGAGTTTGTATAAATATAGTTATTTATAGTGCTGAAAATTCTAAACAAACGAAATTTTGAAAATGAAAATAATTACTAGATAAAATGTTTACAATATAATATACAAATGTTTACAATATAATATACAAATTTTAAAGCAGATTAAAAGTTATAGGCATGAAATAGTCTAGTTTTTAAATTACATGCATTGGGAAAAGTAAGAAAAAAATTACATGCATTGGAGGCAAAATTGTAGAATTAAATACACACACACACACACACACACACTACCACATGGACTACTTGTTGGGATCACAAGTAGGTTTTATTTCTTCTTTCTTTTTCTTTTTCTTTTTTGTGTTATCCACATATTATTTTGTGCAGGAGAAGAAAATGCTTTTTTTTAAAAAAATGTTGTTTTGCAACAATGTGGATTTAGTTAATTTCACAGAATTGTGCACTGAAAATGGCTAAAATGGCAAATTTGATGTTATGCCCATTTTGCCACAGTCAGAACACCAAGTTTCCAGTCTCCCTAGGATTGAGCTTCCCGAGGTAGAAAGTGATTCCTGTTCTATCCAAGGCTATTTTTGATGTTGCACAGTTCATGCTGGTGATGATCAAGCATGTGCCACTAAGAATGCAGCTGTTTTAAGCTGACAAAAGCACACAGCATTGATTCTCCCATCTCTTAGAATTGATTAGCGTTTGTGCAAGGGCATATCACTTGCATTTGGAATGGAGTTAATGTAACTCCTTTCCTGTACATTCTGCTTAAATGCTGTCATTTGACTACTTATCTTTTGCAAATATTTCTTTTTAATCACTCATTTATGTTTTACATACACAGTGTCAATTCACAATATAGTGTTTATATTGCCAACAGCACTGCTTACATTTAGCAAATACTAAATACATAAATTATGGATTCTGCTGAAATAGATGTGTCTTCTGATGCATGGGATAAATCCTTGCTCTCAAGAACCTTACAAAGTTATAGCTCAGTAATGTACTTGTCTAACTCTGAAATATGAGTGAAGGAAGCAAGACACAGCTTGGCATGAATTTTAAGAAGCTCAGATCTTGCTGAGACTCCGGCATTACCGAAGAGAGGGTTGCATTCTATACAGACTTGCAGAAATGTAAACATTTTCAAGGAACAGGGCGAGAAAAAGTGGAATTCAGTTGAATTATGGACACCTTGTGTATAGGAATAGGGGATGAATTTGAGGAGTTTTTCAGGGCGCAATAGCAAGAGAGAAGGTTTACGTAAGTGGGGTATTTGAGACAGTGAAAAATGAGGCAGCAAAGGTGGTGCATGACTCTCCCCTTTGATACGCAGGCTTTGTTGAGACTCACGTCGCCATAGCGTGAGTTGGGAAGGGTGATACCGAAAACCAAAGCACCTCTTCTGAGGCTCTTGCAGGGGTATCCAGAGATATAAGGACAGCACTGGCAGTACAAAATGAGCAGGGATCATTTTTAGGGATATTGTAGACTATCTTCTCTCTGTAGAAACTGGCAGTTAACAAGAAATGGGATTGAGTGGGGATTAAGGAGAGGAAAGTTTAAAAAAATCTTCCAACGAAAAGTAGGCATGACAGATCAAAATTTCAAAGTACAAATATTGTATTTTGGTTTGAACAGAAAGATTATTTTAATAGCATAGTCTAACTTCCGTTTTCCATCTGTCTTGTAATTAATCCCAAACAGAACACACTCTTACTCTGTTGTAAGGAAGGGACTTGAAAATAAAGTCCCAAGTTCTCCCGCCCACTCTTCTTTAGACTTGGTCATCTGTAAAATGTTTATTTTCCTCTGACACTTCCTAACTAATATTTTTATGCTTCCTAGCATATTTGTATTAAGGAGATTAATAAATTTAAGAACCTATTTTTAAAATATATGTATTTAATTTATTTGTGAGGCAGAGAGATCTCCCAACCACTTCCCCAAATGCCCATAACAGCCAGGGATAGGCCAGGCTAAAGCTTGAAACTGGGAGCTTGGTCTAGGTCTCGCACATAGGTGGTAGGGACCCAAGGACTTGAGCCATCATCTGCTGTGTCCCAGGGTGTGCTGGAATTGGGAGTGGAGCCAAGACTTGACCCCAAGCACTCCAATATGGGATGTGGACATCCCAAGAGGCATTTTAACTGCTGGGCTAAATGCCCAACTCTAGAGAAACACTTTTATTTCCTTTTTATATTATTTCATGGCTTATGTTGTGACGATGACTGATGTTTATGTGAAAATATCAATACATGAGCTTCTTAGCACTTCTTTGATAATCCATGAGTGTTTTGCTGCACATCACTCAATTAAATATTGTTACTTAATTTTGCTAAGATAAGTCTGATATGGTGGCTGCCAGCTAGCAATAAGAAGATTCATTTGACCCCAGAAAGTTAAAACAAGCCAGTGAACTAGGAAGCTAGAACTTGAAGAACAATCTCTGGTTATAGGAAAAGATGTGATTTCTTTTTCCTTTAAAATTTTACAGTTCCAGAGCTGAACAAATCCTTCACAATTAGTTATATCAGGGATTCACATACTTTTCTTTCTCTGCAAACTACATATTGTAAATTTTTCCTTTTTAGAATGTAATGTCTTTATTGCAAATATTTATTTCTAACAGTGTAGTAGAAAAATATTCATAGACTGTGTGGTAAGGGAATGACTCCAATACAATTTATTTTTTTAAAAAAACAGGATGCAGGCAGAATTTGGCCAACAGGCTATGGTTTATTGATCCCTGATCTGCTCCCTTTGAGCCTTATTTCTGAAAGAGAAAACTGTATTCACTCTAGGGAGTTCATTTGACTTGTCCAAGATGCTTCTGGCTGGAGTCCAGTAAGCTATTTTATCTTGCCCCTTTTGTTCTAATCTCTCTCTGAAAAGCCATTTAATAATATCGGTCTGATTGCCAAGGTTTGTATAGTCCTTATCCTAAGCACTAAAAGGTGTAAATTTTTCTAATTAACCTTTTTATATTGCCAATGGAATCTGTTTAGGAAGTCAATATCTTAATTGTGCCGACAAAAGTTCATTGATTCTGTCTTTCCCTGGAGACTTGCAGACAGCCAGTCCCTTGAACTTTTGATCTGTCTTTCTCCATGAATTTTTACTCTGTAGCAATGTAAGACTAAGTCTTTAGTAAGCAAATGACATCAGTTGCATCAACTTAACTTTGCAACCAAGACTCCTAACCAAGAACTGAATGTGCATGTTTCTAGAAACTCCCTCAATCATAGGTTCTAAAGAAACTATGATTGATTTGAAATTGATACTTACATTTGCCATCAGAAATAAAATATTTACATAATTGTGATCTATAATTGCATATTGTTATTTTTTGGGAAAAGATTCAATATATCTACACAAAGTAACATAATCTGAAGCCACCAAATATTTTCCAAGAGCTTTTGATTTGTAACTGAAGTATGATTCTGTTAGCAACCTTAATCAAAAGCTAGCATTTTGCTTCTGTTGTCAGAGTTCTAAGGATTTGATTTTAGAAAACCTATCTTTATTACATTTTCTGCTTCTAGGACTCTATGTTTTATGTTAATATAAGGTCAACTTTGTTCCTCCATGGCAGTTGGCATTTAAACTAGAAGATCAAAAACAAGATAGGAAACTTCCAAATGTGTATGTGTTTATGAGTGTGTGTGTGTTCTGAAAGTTCAAATATTAACTGTTAGCAATCGAACCAGATTATTCTCAGTTTTTGGTGAAATTTGATGATTTACATGTTTCCAATGTAGCTGACTTTTTTCCACATCCAGGAGGAAATTGAAAATATTTGCTCATCATTGGAAAGTTTCCTTTCAAATGAGAGAGGAAAGCCACTGAGTGAGCTTTGGTGTCTGTATGCTAGCTTTGCTGTCTGTGTTGTAAGAAGGAATTCTTAAGCAGGCACATGAACTGAATCCTTGGTGGGTACTATGGGGGAAAATGCAGAATGAAACTCGATAATAGGCAGTATTCCCCATTTGTACAGATGTAAAGTAAACACCAAGTTAAGAGGAGAAAAACAGAAATGATTTCCCAGCTACAGCTGAAGGATAATGTAATGTTACCTCGGTATTTACAAGTGGAGAAAATGTCTGGAAACTTCATGGGAAGAATCTGAAATCTAATAGTGATCTAATACATTTTGATAATCAAACTTTGAGGATTACTGGCTAAGAAAGAAAAGAATGATATGTACTTTGCTCAGATATTTGAGAAATTATTGAAAATATTTGGAAGAATAAAATTGGATGAAGGGAAAGACAAAGAAAGAAAAAAGGAAAAACATATATAAGAAAGACAAAAATAGATGAACAATTCTATTGAACAAAACCAATTTATGCCATAACCTATTGATTTACCTTAAAAAAATAAACAGCATATCTTTATTTTCTTGTCCTTGGGAAATTTCCATGTGGGTAATAAAAAAAATACATGTTAATGTGATTTGAAACCAATGTTGATGTACAGTTTTATTGGTGATCACTGTGGTACCAGACATAAGATGCCATTAGAAATACAAAAATTTTGTGGAAATAGGAATTAGAAGACACTTATTTTCATGTAATTTTTTGAAATACATGAAGTTTCTAAAAAATATACAATTAGCGTGATTAAACTTTTTGAGCTCCTCATATGCATACATTTCAACAATTTTTCTTCCAAAATATATTTTTACTTCCATTTCCATGAAGTTTTTGAACACTTTTCATATTTGTGGTGATATTATCTCTTCATTCTGCGAAGGAGTAAACTAGTCCAAGGTTGATTTACCATTTTTAATACTTAGATTTCTGTTAAATTTTGTGTTCAACAAAGGGGAGAAGCATGCTTTTTGACACAGAATTGGTAGATTCTTCTAGAATATGGATTCAAGGTTGATTCAGTGATATCATCCCAACACTCTTAAATCCTTGAGAATTACCTCATATTCAGCTTTTTCATCTGTTGCAAAGTGTCTTTTAATATTGTATGAACTATTTTTTGTAATGGAAGCATTTAAAATACCCATAATTTGTTGCTTTTAGCCAAAGTCCATTTCAGTTTCTAGAGTAAAGAGTAGGAGTCATAAACTTATGATTATAAAATAAACTGAAAGTATATCATTGTAAAAATTAAAAGGAAGCATAGAAATGCAGGAGGAAGGGTGGGAGCGTGGGCAGGAGGGTAGAGTGGGACGTATCACTATGCTCCTAAATCTGTGTATATGAAATACATGAAATTTGTTCACCTTATGTAAATAAAAAATTATATATATGAAAAGTAGAATAGAGTTAGAGCAAATATTTTCCAAATCATCAGTAAGTGCATCCTTTGTGTAACTTGGATCCTCCTTCTGGTATAATCAAGTAAAACTGAAAAGTAATTATTTGAAAGTGAAGTCTTTTTATCAAGTTGTAAGATTGTCTTTCCTAGAATTGCAGCATCATACTAACAAAGCACAGAATAAAAGGTCATGTACAATAGCTTTGAACTTGGAAGGTCTTTGAATCCATGTTCTTGGAGCTACAGAAGCACAGTGACATCTGCCTTTGATTATAGTTAGATGAATAAATATGAATCCTAGGCTGTATTTAAAACATTTCTACATACACAATGATATTATGTTCTGGGAAATGGCACACAGTGGTTATTTTTAACATAATTATAGATGTCTGACTGGTCATCTTTGAAATAAATTATTAAAAAGAAGACCTTCGTGGAAAAATCAGAATTCTTGGTTTAGGCATGTTTATCCTGGGAAAATTCAAAATAAACTATTTGACTAAAGAGTTCTATTTTAGAATTGTTCACATTTTTTACACAAATTGGGTTAATTGCTAAAATATTGGTTTATTCAGTTATTAACACTGTGCTTCTACTGACATTGTCAACTACAAATGAGAATGTGACAACATGTTTTCCAGGTGTGTGTGTGAAGAAAAGATGTTAGGGCGATGCTAATAAAGAAAAGAGAAGGAATTAGCCTGGAACACACTTTCACCGTAGACCTGGGCTCCTCACTTCCAAAAATCACATCGTCGTGTAGAATGAATTACAATCATTTTTACTCTGTGTGTTTTCCCCTCTGTTTTGCAGATTGTTTTAAATTTCACCACGATGGACTTATACAAGAGCAGTCTGTGCTGGTATGACTACATTGAAGTGAGAGATGGGTACTGGAGGAAGTCACCCCTCCTTGGTAAGACACTGTTTGCCTGCTGCATTGTTGTGCATGCTATCTGACCTGTCTAAAGAAAGCTGATTCTTCCCAGAGTTGCCTTAGAGATAAAAATATGTGCCATCAGTATTATCTTTAGTTTCAGTATACTTTTTTCAACCATACACAAAATATTCAGAAACAAATCACTGATTAAATTCATCAATTTTTAAAGTTAATCAGTCAACCAGATTTGCTTCTGAACATGATTGACAATGGCTTTCCCATGAATTGTAATGACTGTGGCTAGCTTGAACAATGTCTTTGCATTTTAAATTTAAGATTCATAGCTTGGGGCTGGTGGTTGGCCTAGCAATTAAGATGCCTAAAGGGATGCCCACATACCACATCAATGTGGGCTGGGTGAGTCCTGGCACCATGTTCAATTCTAGCCTCCTGCGAGGTGCACCCTGGGAGGCAGCAGGTGATTGTTCAAATAGGTGGGTCCCTACCAGCCATGGAGAGATCTGGATTGAGTTCTGGGCCTGTGGCTTTAGCATAGCCTAGCCCGGGCTGTTGCCAGCCTTTGGAGAGCTCTCTTGGTCTGCCTGTCTCTATCTGTCTATTTATCTTCTCTCTGTCTCTCCACCTCTCGATAAATAAATAAAATTGAACGCAGTTTTGATGAAGAAATGGACACATTCCTTGTGTATGGGCTGTTTGTGTGTGTTTTGCTCATGTAATCCAGTGAGCTGTCAGGTACATGTAGGGCAGGTGGTTTCCCAAAACAAGCAGATTCCGTGTTCCTGAAACTTCTCAGACAGCTTTTCTGTGGCTGAAAAGAGGCATTTATAGTCTGCCTCATAAACCGTAGCTCAGATTTGGTGCTCACCAAAGTCTGCCACCCACGTTTAACCACAGACCGCACTGTTAACTTGCATGCGGCGGCTTCTGTTGCCTCTGTATTACTTAAAGGTGAGAGCCGTATGAGCACACAAGTGTCTTCTCTATCCGGATCTCGTTTCTAGGCATTGTGACTTCTCCTTTATTTTTAGAAGCAGCTGTGCTCAGTTGAGTTGTGTGCTATGCAGATCTTTTTCTAAAACCTGCTGAGTGGACACTCTTACATTAAAAGTGACAGCAACCTGAGTAAGTCCAAGAGGAAATGTTTAAAAATAAGGGAAGAGGAAGGCTTGAACAAATGCGGCTAAGTTGCATTGAGGGAAGCGTTATCTTTACATTTAATTTTGCAGCCTGGGTGAAGCAGTTTGTTACATAGGGATGTGCCTTCAGAAGGAAACATTTCATTGAGCTCATATTGGAAAATCAGACGCAAATACAAAATGTGAGAAAGCACTTGTTTAGAGGAGCGTCTTTATGGCAGGGTTCAGCGTAGAGTGGTCCACCGGACTGGCTCAGTGTGTTTGTTTTCATGGGCAAGTCCTTCCCCACCTTTTCTTCCTGGGCCTTGCTCTGAGGGGTGTATTCCTTGGACTGCTGGCTCAGAATCATCCGGAAAGGCATTAGGATTGTGGAAACTCGGGTCCCACTGCGTACCTCTGAAGCAGACTGAACTTTGTCAGTTTCCCAGCCATTCGCACGCACACTCTAAGAAGTACTGCTTGGTGCTGCCTGCCTCGGATGGACTGTGCAATTTATGATGTGTTTTTTCACTAGCTATTAGTGAGGTTTGCTTTGTTCAAGTCAGCCAGCATTTCTCGTATGTTAAAACTACGTATGGCATTTTTCCAGAACAAAGAATATGGATAACAATTAATATGTGTATAGAATTATTTCATATAAATTGTCACATTTAACCATTTTGTCATCATGTGGAAGCCTAGAGCACAGTGACAGACATAATGTAAGTAATACAAATGTGGAGGGAAGAGTGAGAGAAATGATAGGTCTTATATGTGTGTTTTCTGTCCAACTTATCTGTGACTACACAGTTAGAAAAGATTGTAACTTACAGCTGAGAGTTCTGCCTCTCTGCCCACATGGCTAGAGATGATGGCTCCGTGGGTAGGATGGAAGGTGAGCATTGCTATTAGACACGGGAGGTAGCCCAGGGGTTTCTAGAGGAGCGATCTTTAAACGTGTCTGGACAAGGAAATCCACTTCAAGGTGAGAACACAGCCTTGGCCAAGTCATCCCATGCTAAGGAGCAGATGAAGAATTCGACCCAGCGTCTTGGGGTGATGTGCACCTGTTTCTGTTGTCCATCGAGTAAATTCCCTACCTCCGTACCCCACGTGGCCTCTTACAACTGTGTTTTCTGAACAGCCTGTCTTAATTCTGTATGCCAGTGGTACAGACATGAGTCGGTCAATGTGATAATTCCAAAGTACACATCTTTTAATTCTGTTGTTTATGAACTTTCGGAGCTTCCTTGTATAGACTTTGCAATTATCATGAAAATCCATGATCATACTGAGTCATATTTAGGAATCTCTCTTTATTCCTTTCCTTCTTTTAGGTAGATTCTGTGGGGACAAAGTGCCAGAAGTTCTCGCCTCTACAGACAGCAGGATGTGGATCGAGTTTCGTAGCAGCAGTAATTGGGTAGGAAAAGGCTTTGCCGCTGTCTATGAAGGCAAGTCCCACTGGATCGCAGAGATCTGTCCATCTTAGATCTCACAACAGAAGTGTCTGCTCTTTCAGCTTCATTAGAATGATATTTAAGTCATGCTTCTAAATTACTAAATTCTCTGAACCTGTTTCATAATATTCACAAGGATGATTTGAATAAAAATACTCCATAAATTTAAAGTGCGAGAACAACTCATTGTGACCCATTATCAATGTCACAGTAACTTCTAAATGTGCTTAGGGGTATGTGAAAGAATACACATGACACAAGAGTTCTTAAACTTCGTTTGACAATAACGTTAAAATGTTATGAAGGCATTCTTGCTTTTCTCTGGGCTGATTCGCTGGGCTGCTGAAGGGCTCTATTCTAGGAAACTGCAACAGAGAGGAATTGTGTGCACATTTCTGGAGTGTGCTTTGTCTAAACAAGAGGCAGCATTCAAGGAAGGATTTATTAGATGCTTTGTTCTGCACTTCTCTGACACGGTACACTGGCATCGTGCCTCCTGGCTTCCAGAACAGCTCCTCTCTTGCCAGGTTGTGGGTGGAGGAGACCCCGGCACACGCGTTTAGGTGATTTCAAAGACGATTTCTGCTTCCCTTAAGCCTTAAGTCGACGGAAGCGTTTTGTCTTCAGAATGACGCACACAGCAGCGAAGCGGCTTGCTGGGCTGGGGCCACAGATGTTGAGCACATGGCAATGGCTCCCTGCAGAGGCCCCGGGAGTGCCGCTCTGGGGAAGACGTCCATTCTGATGAGCTGTTCACCTGTGGTCCAAACGAGGGAATGAGCCAAATCGGAGAAGCACCGCACAAGCTCACATGGAATTCATTTACCAAATCCCCGAAGGATTTTAAAAGTTTTAAAAAAGAAGTGTTCATTTTGGTGAATATATGAAATAACAGTGATTAAAAATTGAATAGTCCTTGGCCGATTGTTATCTGACATTTACAGTGAAGTGACATTTTTTTTAACCGTATAAATTTTTACAACAGCGCAACCAGTCAACTTTGATTTTTATAACCTGATAATTTTATGTACTCAGCTCCAGGAACTGAACTTAAACATCACCTTAGAAGGAAAGGGAAGTGGAGGGGCACGTCGTCGAGGTTTATTTATTTGCTTGTTTTTTTTTTTGCTTACTTCAGCCATCTGTGGAGGTGAGATACGGAAAAATGAAGGGCAGATTCAGTCTCCGAATTACCCTGACGACTACAGACCCATGAAGGAATGCGTGTGGCGAATAATGGTGTCGGAGAGCTACCACGTGGGACTGACCTTTCAGGCTTTTGAGGTAAAGTCTTTTAGGCGAACTCTACTGGGCGTGTTCTCCATAAATGACAGTGCCATGTAAGGGACTCCTCATTAAGTCAGCAAAGAACCGGAGAATCGGCCTTTTAATCAGCGAAGAAGCCAAGGACTGCCTATAAAATGCAAGATCAAGAGGGACAGGATTTTTTCCTTTCCTCTCCTCGTAGACATTTCCAAGAAGATTAAAGTGCGTTTACATTATCTGCTCTATTTGAATCGGAATGTTTTGAACTACTGACAATCTTTTTTTTTTTTTTTTTTGACAAATGCGTGGAGTTGTTTCATGAGACTCTTGGAGGGTCCATTACGTGATAGAACTTTTATTTCTCTTCTAAACTAAGAGGTTAAAAGGTAGACTGTCTTTTTGTTGGGGGGGGGGACCCAGTTTTTGTATTTTTTTAACCATCACACAGATAAGTGTTTATATCAGAAATCAAGATTCTGAGCTGCTTTCAGCTTCATTAGGGAAGCTGGAGGCCTGGGCAGTCCAGGCACCACCCCCACGAGCCCACAGAGGCTCACACCTGCCTGCACACCTGTGCACTATCTTTCTTTTTTTTTTTTTTAAATAAAATATATTCATTTATTTGAAAATCAGACTTACAGTGAGAGGGAGAGCTGGAGGAAGACAGAGATCTTCCATTTGCTGCTTCACTCCCTAGATGGCCGCAATGGGCCAGACTGAAGCCAGGAGCCAGGAGCTTCTTCCGGATCTCCCATGTGGGTGCAGAGGCCCAAGGACTTGGGCCGTCCTCTGCTGCTTTTTCAGGCCGTTAGCCGGAAACTTGATTGGAGGTGGAATAACTGGGACACAAATCGGTGCCCATCCGGGATGCTGGCCTGGAGGTGGCCTTTACCCGCTACACCACAATACCAGCCCCATGTGCACTGTGTTTCTTTGGCACTGGCCTCGGCACCTTTATAGGTACCATATAATTTCTCATACCTATTTCCTTTATCATGGAATAACATTTTCTGCCTTGATCGTGATGTTCTATTTTATGCTCCTAACCACTTTGCACATCTAAAAATCTTGATTTTAAGGTTATTTGATTCACATTTAATTTTTTTTTATTTTTATGGACTCGTGGGATAACAAACATTGTTCAAATAGACCTGTGTGTTATTAAAAGTGAAATGAAACTGCATAGATGATTTCACCTCTAATTTAGACTAAAAGAACCAGTTCACTGAAAATTATCTAACCAATGGCTATTACCTGTGTTTTGTGATATCTTAAAGATTAATAAATTAGCTGTCTTTCAATAGATCATATAGTATTTTCTGAGATTTTCCTGTTATCTAAGAGACAGACGGAGGAAGTGTCAGCAATCCCATCTGTTGGTTTCCTCCCACGTGCTCCCCGTGGCCCCTCTCTGGGGCTGCAGCCAAGAGTCTAAAATTCAATACAGGTCCCTGTTATGGGTGGCAGACACCCAGTTACTTAAGCCATCATTGCTGCCTCCCAGGGTCCACATTAGCAAGAAGTGGAGTCAGGAATCAGAGCTGGAAATCAAACTCATGTCTCTCATATTGGCTGGGAACATTTTAACTAGTGTCTTCCCCACCAGGCCGAATCCCTGCCCCTCTAAATATTTTCTTATTTGTTCTAATAGGGCATCAGTTGCCTTGTTTAACTTTGTCTGTTTTCTCTGTCACTTCATTTTTATTTATTTAATGTTTTCAATATGCAGATTATATATTTAAAATACATAATTAAAGAAAATGTCCTCACACCTTCTTGGAGTTCTGTGGTTTTGTCTCACAAAATATAGCTCTTCCTTACTGATCCCAGTCTTTTCCACTCCTCACAAACAGTTTCCAGCTTTGCAGTTTTGTTTAAATTGAATTCCCACATACATTCGTTCAAGTGGGATTAAGTTTGAGGTTCTTGTCAACATCGCCGCGCAGTCTGATTTGGCGATATTTCCCTTCTCTGTGGTACTCTTTCTCTGCAGATAAAAGGCCAGTAAGATAAATGCACCCATCAATCTGCCCGAATACACTGTAAAGAATTCTCTGGCTCTCTGTCGTTTATATCCTCCCGTGAACTTACGTCATAGCTCTACCCTTCCCAGTGCTACTTGGATGTTAGTGTAATTTCAGAAAGAAAACCGGAATAAGTGTCTTTGTGAATGAAGTTTAGACATCTTTGAACAGGAAGAGACACTATTTCGAGGGTGATACACTCTCGCAGTCTCTGCCAATGGCCCTTCTTTCTGGCTTATGAATCTATGTACTTTAAGTAGATTCATGCCGTATTTACTTTTTCTGTGCTGGCTTATTTCACTTAGCATAAGGTTGTCAGAATTCATCCATGCTACTGTAGCATATACCAAAATTCCCTTCCTTCTTATATCATGCCATTTAGGAAGCACCGTGAGCTTAATGTTTGTGTTCTGCTCAGATTCATAGCTGCCAAGGTACTGTTTTGAGGAGGTGGGCCCTTTAGGAAGTGATGAGATCATGAGGATGGGGCCTCCATAAATGGGATTAGTGCCCTCATGAAAGAGTCCCCGGAGCCTCCGCCACAGCGAGAAGACGCCAATCAGATGCTGAACCCACCAGGGCCTGGATCTCACACTTCCCAACCTCCAGAACTGTGAGCAGTCGGTTTCTACTGGTCACCATCAGCTCACACCATGCTGTCTTCTTCCAGTGTCCTGGATGGACTAGGACAGGAAATAGTTACTGGATGCATTATTCTTATGACTGATACACTGGCATGAATGTTTTTATGAATATCTCTCACCTCTGAAATTAACTTGGGCAGAGTTTTCACAATTCCGCGGCAGCATTGTTTGTAAAGAAGCTTCTAGTACTACTAATCTATTTGGGGACTTTTCAGTTGCAGAAATACAGGAGAGAAAGTTTGGGAGAGTGGAAATGTTTATAATAACAACTTCAAAGAAATGTCAATAAAGCAGCAAAGAAGTGAAATAAACTTGGAGCTAACTCTTGTTTAAATTGAATCCCCACATACATGAATTCAAGTGGGATTATGTTTGAGGTACTTGTCAACATTGCTGCACATTCGGATTTGGTGTAACTTTTCCTTATGAAAACCAGAGATATTTAATAGCTTTAACCCTCATTACTGCCAGCTGCAACACTCTAAACTAAGTAAATAAGTTTTTATCTTGGTGCTTGGTAGATTGCTTGAGCAAAATAATCCTTTAATTCCTTTAGCTATTTTTTAATAGGTGATGATAAGTAGACTTTCTGTTGTGAGTGAAAGAAGACCAGATAAGGGGGTTAATGGTTTTCTGCTTGCCATGTACTATTTTTGGGTGTTCAGCTAAGAGTATACATTGGTTAATGAGTGTAAAAGACAAGAGTTAAACAGCTCTTCATGAATTATGGCTCAGGATGTATTTGGACTGTGAGAGATTAGCCCTGGTTAGTTTAAGTAAACCTGCCCAAGGTCATACAGTTGGTAGTGCAGTGATTGAAACCAAGTCTGTGGTCTGTGCACTTCTGTCACCAGGCCCTGGGAGTAGAGAGTAGCATCACATTTTCTCATAGCAGCCAATGCCTTCCACAGTTCACCTACTTGTCATTGCACTCATATGCATGGATATCAGTTAATTCAATTTTTCATAAAGGTTTTGATGCATCCTCATTTGTCAAAGACATTCTTTTTAATTTAGCACTGTTCACATACCACTGAGTGCATACTCTCTGGCTATAGCAGGTTTTCAATAAGATTTTTAAATTTATGAGATGAAAAATGCTACATCATGAATTGGCAGCATTTAAATGAATGATTTTATGAAAATAAACCTATCCAAGCAAACCTATAAACCTTCCATGTTGTTGATTTTAACATTTGAGCATATTGTTTCTCCTCTTTCTTGAGTAATTATATATTACTTTTAAGGCTATATTAAATGTCATTAATAAATTTTGAATAAGATAATACATTTTAAATAATTATCTATATATTAACTTTTTCCCATTTGTCCAAAAGATTTTATTTTTTAAATTTGAGAGAGTGAAAAAGATGGACAAACAGAGAGAGACAACTTTCATATGCTGGCTCACTCCCTAGTTGCCTGCAATAGATCCTGAAACCAGGAGCCAGAAATGCAGTAAAGGTCTACCGTGTTTATGGTGGGAACCAAATTACTTGAGCTATCACCTGCTGCCTCTCAGGGTTTGCATTGACAGGAAGCTGGATCCAGGACCAAGAGACAGGGATCAAACCCAGGCAGGCCCAGTGGGTGACACAGGCATCTTAATCACTAAGCTTACATGCATCTTTCCAAAATTTCTTCTGTCAATAACATTATTTCCTAGACTTTACTAGATTTTCCCATTATTAAAACGAATGTAAGCTTGAATGATAAATGCTCATTCATATTGTCTTTATTAGTCATAGTTTTCTTTTATATTCTCTCCAAAAGCAAAAAAGAGTCTTAATATTGTTTGTATAATACGTTACTTAAAATTATATTATCTATAAAGGTAGTATCATTTTTATTGCATTTACTGTATTTTATTGCAGTAATTATATAATAAACCTACATCACAGTAGAATTTTTTTATTGTAGTACATGATGCATAACACGAAATTCAGCATCATAACAAAGTTTAAATGTATTGTTCAGTGGTGTTAAGTATCTTCACATTATTATGCAGTCAATTCCCACAACTCTTTCATTCTGTAAAGCTGAAACTCTGTGCCTATTAAATAATAACTCCTCATTTGTCCCTGCCCTAGTCCCTGGCAACAACTTTCCTTTCAGTTTATGAATTTGAGTACTCTAAGTAAGTCATAGAAGTGGAATAATATAGTATTTATTATTTTGCAACTAGTGTTTTACTTAACATAAGCCTCAAGGTTTAGCCATGTTGTGAAATATATGAGAATTCTCTCCCTTTTTAAGGCTAGCTAATATTCCATTGTGATTTTCTTTGTTCATCTATCCATGGCCCATTGGGTCGCTTCCACATTGTGACTGTTGTGAGTAATGTTGCTAT